ACTGCAGGTGGCGGTAAACACCCTCCGAAGCAGACGATCAAGACGGTCCCAGCAGTCACAGCCTCTCAAACGCCGGTAAAGGAGTTCCACTCTGACGATCCAACAGTGTTGATGGCCGGTGGCAGTGATGACGTGGCGATCGTGGCACCACCACCGCCGAAATCGACTAAACAGAAGAAGAAGAAGGTGGTGGTTGCCGCCGCCGCCAACAACACCAACAGCCGAGCCCAGGGATTTGACTCTTCGGCGCCGACGGCCCTTATCGCCCCTGATGGTAAATAGAAATGCTCTGATGTCCATCATCATAATATGAGTTTTCTAAATGGCTTTTCTTCACCCAGATTACCAGCACCTGTACGCCGCCAAGGGCAAGGGAGGAAAGGAGTCGGCCAAGGTGGTCAAAGGAGGAGGAGGAAGAGGAGGTAATCAGACGGACTCTCTGGCCGCCGCTGGCACCGAATCAGAGGCGCCCACTGCTCTCATCGGTAAGTGTGAGGACTTTGTTTACTTTTGGAATTTCTTACATTGAAAAAACTTCATCTTCACCTTCACCAGCACCGCAAGACTACTCGCACATTTTCTGCGCCGAGCCGACGCCTCCAAAGGTGAAGGGCGGAACAAAGCATCAGCAGACAAAGCAGGCCAAACTGCAAATGAAACACCAGCCAAAGAACAGCACCAAAGCACAGAGCAAGACTAAAGCCCAGCGTGATCAGCGACTTCCTTCAGACGCACCGACGGTCCTGGTGGAGGCGGTGGCCAAGCAAGACGCTGCTGCTGCTGCTGCATCGGCTTCAACTCCAAAACAACCTCAGCAACCTCAGCAGCAGCCTCAGCAGGCGTCCAAGGTCGCTGGGGCTGGTGGGCAGAAGAGCAAGGCCAAGGCGAAGACTAGCAGGACCAAGACGAAGACGAAGACAAAGGCCAAGCAAAGTGGTGGTGGCGGCAAGTCCAAAGCGAAAGCCAAAGGTGGCAAAAAGAGCAGCAGCGCTCGAAAGAAGAAGCCAAAACCGCAGCAAGAGAACAGGGACTCCTCCGGTGGTGGTGGTAATGGTGAGGAGGAGGAGGGACAGGAGGACGACTCCGGAGTATGCTGTCTGATTGCCTGATGATCACCACCACCACCACGGTCATCATCACCATCGAATGTTGCCGTCCACTGGAGATAGGCCATTAAATGTTCATTTCTACCCCGCTGTGTACTGCTGCTGTACACTGTACACACTATCTGGTGGCGTAGGAAAAGTCTTCTCATTTTAAGTACCAGTTTTTTCAATTTGCAAAGCAATTAGCAATTAGCAGTCAAAACCAATCACAATAATCAGCCGACACACTTTTTACCCCGTACTTTAAGCCTTACTCTTCTTCAAGTAGCTTTTCAGCGGGCACTTGCTGCCCGTGGTGGCAGCAGGTGATGCGCTGAGCCGGAAAACCGGTGCAGTCCATGAGCACTTGCAGCTGGACGCGAAGACAGCTACGAGACGCCAAAGACGTTGAACTGTCCCAGAACTGCTCATAGTGACAGACTTCGCAGATAAACACCTCCAGGCTGATCAGCTGCACGCCGGGCACGGTCTCTCGCAGATTGAGCCACTGCAGCTGTGAATGGGCGGTAATGAACAAGCTCAACTCCAGCCACCTCACCGAAGGCAGCCGCACCCGGGGAAGGGGCGGCGGCTGCGGGAGCTCCTCCAGTGGGACGCCTCTCCAGGTGACGGCCAGACTGAGCGTCGCCAGGTGAGGCAGCTGGGCGAGCACGGCGAAGACGGCGATGAGGTTGCCGGCAAAGAGAAAGACGTTGAGCGAGGTGAGATTGGGAAAGGCGGTCAGGCGGAGTGAGTGCAGCAGCTGGTAGTCGTAGGCGGACAGAGCGCCGTCGCTCAGACAGGTGAAGCACCGGCGAAGGGGCTCACCTAGCTGGTGGAGCCGGGAGACGACCGCTTGATTTTCTGCCGACGTGCTGAAGCTAGCGAATAAGTCCACTCGAAGCTCTGGCTCCCAGGCTGCACTGCCTGAAGTAGTAGTGG